GAGAGAGAGAGAGAGAGAGAGAGAGAGAGAGAGAGAGAGAGAGAGAGAGAGAGAGAGAGAGAGAGACTGGAGACTTGACATTGGTACTAAATGGGCCAGGCTCCCTAACTGGAATCCAAGATTTATTGTTGGGGGCCTATAGGAGGTGGGAGGTACAGCGAGGTGGAGGAGAGACTATTATTATGTGGCCCTGGCAAACATTTGGATCTTCTTCTTCGTCGTCTTCCACTCCAACATCTCCAACCTGAGACTTGGTCTATGCATTATTGCAGCAGGTCTCTTCTATGCATGGACCCCTTCAGTTGGGTGTGAGCACTGTAAGGTTGGATTTGAGTGACACTGTCATTTCCTTCTGCTGCATCACCAGTCAGTCCTATCTGATCTGAGTCTTCTGCTGTGTGACACTGCATCTCTTCCTCATAATGGGGATCATTGGACTTGCATTGGCGACGATTCACTCCGGGCATGCGTCACAGGACTAGAACCGGACGCTAGGATCTGGTCTGAACCAGAGGGTTCGACTTTAAAGTGTTTTATTTTCGTTTCTGCCTGGATTCCAGGCCACGGACTGCAGACAGTCTGGGCACTACCACCTTCACCCGAATAGAGCACGTGGTCATTATAGCCGTATTTGAGGCAACTTTCAGTCCAGGTGCAGCCATAATGACAAGGCGTTCTATTGGGGTGAAGAAGGTAGTCCGGATGCCGGGATGGTAGTAGCAACACTGGTTCACATCCGATTCGAGTCTGCACATGATTGTGAAATTATCACCATGCAAAACCACACAGCTTTATGCCTCATGCAACAACCAATGTGATCTGCTTTGTCTCCACGTAGACACTGACCATTGGTACAGGTGTACAGTTCGATCCTGTGTGATGAACGGCGGCAGTCACTCCAGGTGTGACCAAGATACGCTGCCAGTCTGAAAAGAGCTGTGAAATCTAACATGCCTTCCACGTGTGGGATCGAGTCATACACAACTCCCAAGCCCCTCCGACCCTTCGACATCAGGAAAGTTCGCAAGAGAACGGAATCACTTGCTTACCAATGGCTGATCACAGGAAGAGGAGAGAGAAACAACAGGAGAGAGTAACAAGAAGGGGAAGGCAGGGGAGAGAGAAACAGCAGAAGTAAACCGATCGGGAAGGGTGAGGAGAGAGAAACAGCGGGAGTAAGGAGACGATGGGAAAAGTACCAAAGAGCAGAGGTGAGCTCTGAGCCAGCAGTTTGCTATTACAACAGAAAAAAATCAAACCAACGATCGACGACTAGATCCTTGACATCAATAGCCGTGTAAATCCATCCCCTGAGCAGGCAACTCAACAGTGAAACAGATCGTTCACCCGTCGTCACTCCAACTACCAGGCAGGACAAGAGCTCAGCAGACAAGCAGGTCGACAGCAAAACAGGCCATGCAACACGCATGTCATTCGCAGACCAGTCTGTAAATCCAAGGCAAAAAAAGTCAGCGAAGTATTGACGGTCAAAAATCATCATCCATCCTGGTAAAAAAAGGGCACATACCAAAAAAAAAAAAAAAAAAAAAAAAGGGCGCATACAGTAGCAGTAGCTCGGTCATGTCATGCTCTATCCCTGAGAAACTGGACTTCGATCCACATGAAAGAAGGTCACATGCAGTTTGCTTTCTTGCTACTACCGTACTACGACTATAACTCAGTATCCGAGTCCGTATAGGCACACAGAGCGCCATTTCTTTGCGACGCCGATACGGACGAGATCTTCACAAATTGCATCTGCCTGGAAATCCACTGACCAAGGCATTGCCAGACCTTGGAAGACCTAAAGACCCAACGTTCTTCTCCTCAGTGGAGGTCCGTTGCCGCAGCCACGTAAACGTCATCTATTTGCTGCTGAGAGAGAGAGGCTGCCTCAACTGAACTGGTGCATTTAAGTAACCCTGCTTGCCAGACAACCGGATCTGCTCCCCGAACAGCTCATACCTCCCCATCATGGACGTCCTTCCCACTTCCACATTGTTCGTTCCAGGGGTGACAGTACTGTATGAAGCCCCAGGGATGTTCAGCGCAATTCCGATCGCTCTGCCAGGAGTGGAAACCTTGTCAACATGGTAGACCGTTGCTGTTTTCCTCCAACGGTACAGAGCCACCACGCAAACACAATCCATAAAACTCTCATGCCTCTGCTTGGAACGGCCGGCATGCCCAGGAGTTCTGAAGCGTCACACAACAAACGTCTTGCCACATCCGCACAAGCCGTTGGCTTGTAATTACTCTGCAGAAGGAAGGGTTTCGGTAAGGCCTTCCTCCATAACCAGCAGCGGAACAAAGGAATGGACAACTGTGACAAGATCCGCGGCTATGGCGGACTTGGGATCGAGTTTCGTGTCTCTTCAAGGCGATTCAGACTCAGCCATGACAGCATGGAGATCAAGTCAGGACTCCAGTGAGTACCTAGTTGATTCCTGCAGCAAGGGGAGAGGGACTCACCAACACTTCCTCCAGCCAGAGGGAGGCACAAAACCTCTCAAGCCAAGCAATACGGCATGGGACAACGGAAAAGCGAGTGAGCAGCGAAGGGCTAGACTACCACTCCCAGAGTCCCAGAGTCTACACTCATCCTCCTCTTCCTCCTCCTCCACCTCCCGTCTTCACCCGAATAGAACATCCGGTCATCATAGCTCTATCTAGACTGAGCGTTGCCCCAAATGCTGCTATAATGACCGTACGACGTAAGTGGTATTCGGGGCAACACGGTAGCCGTCCTTTTCTGTCTTGCTGCCGTCGACAAGATCCCGTCCATACGTGTCCTCATCGCCAAGCCGCCAGAATACCCATCTTCGTCACCAGAACCTGTTACGGACAAATATGCAGCAGCTTCTTTCCTGTCACTTCACTCGCTGCATCTCTGCCGACAGCAATCGCTTCTCCCGTACAGGGAAGATCATCCACGACTCCAGCTGCCTCACTGTGGGCTGCAAGTTCTCATGTCCTGATACCCTCAGTACACTGTCCTCTCAACCGTCTTCCCCCAAACACAACGAACCCTCATGTTCGCTGCACTATACGGGAAAGATGGCTTGTATTCGTTCGTTATCAGGGTCCGTTGTATTCGGGAGAACGCGGTAGTGCTAAAGCCCTCCCCTGCAGGGTTTCTCACCCCAGGCAGTTCGTCGAAGCACACTAAATCCTGGATGCATCTGACCGGAACTTAGACTTTCCTGGATGCATCTGACCGGATTTACGGCCAGTAACCTAAATATATATCAAACCACCGTTACGTCCAGAGCTCAGTTGAAAAAGTCCCAAAGTGAGTAAAATGCCCTCAGTCAGCCTCTCCATCTCCGAGCATCTGCTTTGGTCCCAGAGCTTCTCATGCCTTGGGATTTGTCTTTGCCATATTCACAATGGAAAGCAGACTGACGTTCAAAAATTCAGCAGCTATGACGGCCTGTGTTCCAGCCAATCAAAGCATCACTTGGAACCTTGATACAATTTCAAAGCGGGCTCTTGCCGCCACGCACGCCACACACAAGTATTATGCTGCCATTCTCTATCGTGCTCTTCGTCCATCTCTTCCTCGTAGCTACCGTCAACAAAAACCATTCACCAAAGTGCTTCTGCAGGGGCGCGCAGGCAAGAATGATGGGCCCTGCATGACATCTCCTCCTCCTCCTCCTCCTCCTCCTCCTCCTCCTCCTCCTCTTCCTCCCCTCCCCTCGCCTTGCTATGCTTCTCCTCCTACATTTGCTGTCAGTGCGGCGGCCAAGAAGGTCCCAACCACTCCACTAACCAAAGCCACCTGGACATTCACCATAGCCAGATGCAGAGCAAATGAGCCACGTCGACAAAACCAAGGTTCCGCCTTCCCAAATGAGCCACGAGTTCAAACCGACACGGCAAGGGGACGCTGCAGTCCTTCACGTCTATACCCAGAGACCGATGGAGAGGCTTGAAACTTCTTCCTCTCCTCCTTAGGCTTGAATACCCAGAGAGCTTTGCTTCCGCTGTTTCCCGTCCGCGGAAGCAAAGCTCTCTGGGTATTCACCATAGCCAGATGCAGAGCAAAGGTTGCAGATCACGAGAAGAGCACAAGGAGCAAAAAAAACAGACAAGAACCTGCACTCCTCTGGCTGTCTACTTCCTTCACAGGGTGTTCTGCCCCAGGAAATGGAAAATAGAGATTGATCAATACGAGTGCAAACCATATCCTCACTCACTGCTGCATCATAAAGGGTATTTCTGCAGTTGGAACAGTGCCTCAATTCTCTTCTTCCTCCTCCTCCTCCTTCTCCTCCTCCTCCCCCAACAGCTGCCCAACCTCATGCCAGAGATTCAGCATCCATCAGGGAGAGACCGATGAGGATCTAGACTCCTTCCACGTGCCAGGCACGCAAAGGGTGGCTGCCGGACAATAATTTAATTTACAGACATAAAAGAAGATGCCAAGCAATGCCATAATTATTAATTTTACCATTCCTTGCTTACACCCGGTCTAATCTACATTTGATAATCATCCTTTCTGGCATATCTGCAAATAATAATAATGTTTTCTCTAACTTTTCTGGCACATTGAAGACCTAAGGGACAGGACAGGGAGGGAGAGAAGGGAGGGTGGGTGGTGACTGAGCGGCCAGCGGAAGTGACAAGGTGTAGTAGATAAAGCCGGGACCAACAACGACAGGAAACCTACCTTACTGTCCCGGACATAACTTCCTCATCATCATTCATAATGAACTTACACAGACTCAATCCTGGCCAAATACAGTCACGATAATAAGGGGTGGCATTCGGGGGACTAAGGTAGCACTCGGTCGATCAATCACTTCGATGCTACTGTAGCCAATGAATCGCACAGTGAAGAAGAAGGCTGACGTGTCAAATGAAGACAGGGAGAGGGAAGATGGAGAAGGCTGACGTCCTTACGATCTGTTTGCTACGAACGTTATCCTTTCAACTGACATAGCGCGTCATGCCACGTGTCTGTTTGCTACTCGACGACGTATGTGGTTGAACACAGCTCTCGTACGAAAAGAGAGAGAGAAAGAGAGGGAGAGAGAGAGAGAGAGAGAGAGAGAGAGAGAGAGAGGGACAGAGAGAGACGTGTCTGTTAGCTACTCCACGATGTATGTGGTGGAACACAGCCCTCTCGCTGAAAGAGAGAGAAAAAGAGAGAGAAAGAGAGAGAAAGAGAAAAAGAGAGAGAAAAAGAGAGAGAAAAAGAGAGAGAAAAAGAGAGAGAGAGAGAGAGAGAGAGAGAGAGAGAGAGAATACCTACTTTTGTCTCCTAAAAGGGGAAGAACCGGATTAGCGAGGGAGCTACTCAAGGAAGAAGAAAGAACGCGCGGATAGGGGGGCGGGGGGGGGACGAGAACGGCGAGTCTTGAAGCGAGCATAGTGTTATTTGTTGTCGTCACCAACAATCACAAATCCGGACGACATTGGACAGAAGCCGATTGATGCGCAACCGATCTTCTTCAGCGCATTCCGATATAAACGAATGAACGGCTGAGATTACGACTTCGCCGCAGCGATTGTCTGCAGCGAGACCATCGAGCCGAGTTGCCTCCAATAGAAGAAGGTGCAGGCGATGGAGGGCATCAGCAACATCCGCCAGCCGCCGATCTTGCGGATCTTGCGGCCCAGAGATCCTTTCGTCCATTACCACTCTCTTCTCTGCAATAATAGGTTCTGTTCTAGACGTTGACGAGCAGCCGACTGATGGGCAAAAGACAGCAGCACGGTCTTGATGCCCATCTGAAATCTTATCTTCTCCATCTCCATTCATCGATGTCGATTTGAAATCTCTCCTTCGGTTGATCTCGACGTGGACCGCAGAGCGAGCGACGGAGAGAGATGACGATGAATCTTCCAGGAACTTTCGCATCAAGCTCCGCACGTAGGTGGAGCACATAACCGACTCCCAGCAACAAGTCGCCGCGACCGCCGACGCAGTGAGCTGCGGGTTCAATCTCCACCACAGCCATTGCCGACGTGCCACGTGGCGCGCAAAGAACGCCGCCACGTCACGACTTCCCTCCTGTCTGCAAGAACTCCCGGGCCATCCCGATCTCCCCTCCTCATCCCCCCCCCCCCTGATCGTCCCCGGCTGCGCCGAGAATGAAGAAGCACAGGAGAACGCGCACTGCACTGCCACCCCTGACGATCTAACAGCCGACAACCCTCCCCCTCCCCCTCCCCCKCCTCCCCCTCCTCCCCCTCCTCTTCCATATCCTCTTTCTTTCCCAGCGCGCGCTCCTGCAGAAGAAAGGCCATCACGCATGCCTCTGCTTTCGCAATCCCGATCCCGATGCCTCTCGATCCGAGCTCGTTGCAGCCGGTCACGACACGGAAAACGAGGGTTATGGAGTTGCCAATCGACGGCAAACGGTCCTCCATGAACGAGGCGAATAAGCGTTGGCATCAACGAGTCCCAAGCTTGCTCCACGAAGTAAAGACAGCATATCTCGGCGACTTCCATTTCGGTCTGCATCCCCGCGAGCTCTGCGGGCACCCCGTCTTCTTCCTCCTCGACTCGGCTTTTGAGCATTAGGTTTTCGAACACCTCCACCCACTCCTCTCTTCTCCTCCCGGTGAAAATGAGTCGCGCTGCAGCCATCTTCGCGGTGGCCTCCGGCGAGGAGAGGAACTTCAGGGTCCGCGTCCACAGCTCGCCGCAAGCACGTGCGAGAGTCGCTGGCGCTCCCTGTAGTGCATCCTCGGTCTCAGAAAGACTAAGTACAATCTCCTTCTTCTTCTTCTTCGACCCCTCGGCGCCAAGACCCGCCTTCTTCTCAATGACCAACCACCCACTGTTCTCTATTATTTTCCCTCTTCCAAGTCCACCTCCCAAGCTTCCCTCCGCGCTCTCCTTCTTCCTCTTCTTCGTCGTCGTTGTCGTCATCGACCACCCGCTCCCATCGCCATCGCCATCTCCATATCTCCTCCTTTTCCCAAGGACAGGAGGCTTCGCAGAGTTCTTGCCGCTTTCATTGGGGTCCACATCAATCGGTGCTATCACATCCGCAACCGCGCTTGTCGGCAAGGGAAGGAGGACAGCATCGACTACCTTCCCCGTCGTCCGATGGAGGTGGTCAGACAGAGAGGATGCCAAGTGTCGCCTCTGCACTTCTTCGTCGACGTATCTCCTCAGCACCTCCCTCTCTTCGTCTTCCTCCCTCAACCATCTCGATCGGGTTCCTCTCTCTCCCGCAAGTACCGAACCGGGACATCCGTCCGCATTCACGACGATGCTCCCCTTCTTGTGTCGAACAAACCCACCATCACCGGCGGTCCTTCCTCTCTCATTATCCTCACAACCACCTCCATCTCCATCGCAATCGTCATCGTCATCGTCATCGTCGTCGTCGTCGTCAGAGGAGGAAATGACTATGACTTCGTCCACACGACTACGTTTCTTTCCCTTGGCACTGGTCGTTACCTTGGGACGATCCCGATCCCGATCCCGATCCCGGTGCCGATCCCGGCAGTACCGAACATCCGCATCTCCGTCCCCCACGGTCCCTCGCGTTGTTGATGACGTCAACCCCTTCACCGGTACGCTGCAATGACCGCCACGTGTCACTTTATCCCGATCCTGGCTGCCCCTCGCGTTGTTGTTGACGCCAACCCCTTCCAGGCTTGCCTCGATCGACTTGAGTTGCTTGTCGGAGAGAGAGGCGGATTGCAGGAATGAGGATAACATGACACGTGGCGCATTTGCAAGGAGTTCGGAATTGATCGGTGGCAGCCAGGAGGGAAGCACGACAGACGAAAGCCGACGCTCAACACACTGGAGCACATGATGACGGAAAGGGGAACGATCCCGCGCACCTTTTTGCTCTGCATTGGGAGTGTCCCCTCCATCTTCCTCTGCGACTCCGCTACTTGCTTCCCTAAAGAATCTTTGCAGACAGAATGATACGCGCAAAACCTCGCCAATCGTTGCTTCGTCGAAATGAATACGTGCACAGCTTGAGCTCAGCCCCGAAGACAGGATGAGCACTTCCACGAATGTTGCAATCAGTTCTGCTAGCTCCTCGATATCCGAATCCTCGTGCATGGCCAAGCCACCACCTCCCTCCTATTTTCCCCCTCTCTGCTGTTGTTCCTCGCTCTCGCCTTTGATCTCTCTTTCCTCCCAGCCGACCACCTTCCCTTTCTCCCCCACGCAACGACCATTGCCTTGTCAAACAACAATCTCTCTCCCTCTCTCTCTCTCTCTCTCTCTCTCTCTCTCTCTCTCTCTCTCTCTCTCTCTCTCTCTCTCTCTCACACACCAGCGGATGCGTTCACTTTTACCCCCCTTTCCGCTCACAATCGCTCAATTCCTTATTCTATCAGCGATACGCTTTCTCAATTGGCTGAGAAGATACGATTACCTATGCATCCTTGTGCCGAGGCAATCAACACCGTATCAGCCAGGCGAGCAACGCACACGCACAGGCCTACGCCTGTACAGCCCACTCCAGCAGGCATAAAACACAATGGTTCAGCCTCTGAGTCCGCGAAACTCCGACGAAACAGTCTCCCCTCTTTTGTTGTCGTCTTCTCCCTCTCTGCCTACGGTTTACCGGGCACTTCTGTTTGCCGATATATATATATAAAATATAAATTGACGATATATAATATAAATAATATAGCGAGCCTTTCGGACGGATTGGCCAGTTGAAAAATGGGGAAAAGCACCAACTAAGGGAAGGATAGGCTATAAGGACCACCTCCCCCCTGAGGCAACTTCCTCCTCTCTCCCTCGTCTCGCGCCCCCCTCCTCACCCTTCACCCGGCCCCAAATCACCCAAATCACACCGAACGGCCTCTCTCTATTTCTGCCACAATACCACCACAATCAATGTCAATGAGAAGATGGAGGACACGCAGTATATATATCCCAATTCCACCGCTATCGGTATCCCAATTTCAGACCCGGCGACTTTCTGAAGAACATGTGGACGTGCGTGTTTATCCAGAAATTACGCTATCGGTCGGTATCCCAATTTCACACCACACCCCTCGAACGGAACGGATCTTCTGCGCATCATTTATTCTGGATTTCCATATCCCCTCTCTTCCCCGGCTGACCAAGGACAACCCCCTTCTCCCCCCCCCCCCCCCCTCTCCCCCTCTCTTCTCCTTAATTCATCCTAGGGCACCATTTTCTCTTCCGCTATACCTTCCGCTTGACAGAGAACTCTCTCCCTCCCAGATGAAAATGCCTGTGGATTAGTCTTCCACAGGCATTTTCATCCGACGACCACCAACTAATTAGCTTGCTCGCTCTTCACGACGACCACCGCCCGGTCACTGCTTAATTAGTCTCTCATCTCCACATCGTTCCAAATTTCAACGTATTGTCTCGAACGACCACCCCCACCAACCATCATTACCTGTTTCTCCTTCTCCATATCAGCAAAGAGGAGCTGTACTCAGCAATCGCACCCTCCCTACCTCCTTGCTCTCATTCTCCTCTCTTCTCCACGCTCAATTACCACTTTGATACGCAAACAAACTCCTTGGCTCCTCCCCCTCCTCCCCCCCCCCCCCCCCCCCCCCCCCCCCCCCCCCCCCCCCCCCCCCCCCCCGGGCAACCTTTTCGCCCCGAAGTCCAGAACAGAGATCACGAGCCATGGGTGCAACGACAACGCCGTCTTCCTTCCATCACGTCAGCCAACCGACGTGGCTGCATCTTGGAAAGACCGGCACGGCCATATCCTCATATCGAAAAGACTGACGTCAACATCTCCTGGGGAAAAAAGAACTATCCGTACATTTGCATTGCTACCCCTGTCCACACTTACACAATTTGGTTCTGCATTCCTCTCCACAAGTATGTGCTACACAGCGTACACTGCCTTAACTTTCTTCTTCTTCTTCTTCTCCACACAGCAAGCACTCTCCTTCTTCCTCGGGGAAAGAGAAGACCACCTCCTCTTCGTCTCCGCTACCCTAACTTCATTCAATCCAGTCAATCAGGCGCAAAAACGACACATCAATCGCTCAACCGATCTCTGAACTTCCTTTCACCTACACATGAATCAACCAAGCAAAACCCCCAGCCGCAGCAGAATCTGCCATTCAATCGACCAATCAATCAATCAACCAACCAACCAACAATCAATCAATCGATCAACCAACAATCAATCAATCAATCAATCAATCAATCAATCAACCAACAATCAACCAACAATCAATCAACCAACAATCAATCAATCGATCAACCAACAATCAATCAATCAATCAATCAATCAATCAATCAATCGATCGACTAATCAATCAATCAATAGATCGACCAATCAATCAATCAATAGATCGACAAATCAATCGATCAATGGACCAATCAACAATCAAATGAACCAATCCATCAATCAATCAACCAATCACTCAATCAACCAACCAATGAAATCTTCCAGCGAAACGGACAACCAATCAGCCAATAAAGTGATCGATCTGTCTTCTTTTCAAAGTTCGGTTATAACAGAAACTGATCGTCACAATCCCATACAGTCCCATACTGTCTCGTATATGCATATGTATATATGACGATATACACATATATCGTCACAAAGATATCAGAGCGCAAAAACGATAAAAACAAGAAAAATATCAATTCATTTTCTTTTTTAGTTACAACTCCCCCTGTTCAAAACCTCTTGCGATATATATATATATATATATATGCCTACGGTTTACCGGGTAGCTCTGTTTGACGATATATATATTGTCACAAAGTTATCAGAGCGCAAAAGCGAAAAAAAACAAAAGGAAACAAAAAAGCTATCAATTCATTTTTTATCTTCTTACTTACAACTCCCCCTGTTCAGAACCTCTTGCGTACAAGGCCCCGCCCACGTGGATGTAGGTTGAGCGGCGGCTGCCCCCACCCCCGCGTGTCATATCGACCCACTTGCACACAGCCAAAGGGCAAAGAGGCAAAGAAAAGCGGAAGGGAACAGCCAAATACAGGGGCCAACAAGCAACAGCACCAAAAACGGATCCTAGATGACACGTCCCATATGCAAGCACCGCCCCTCCTTCACAGGCCAAACGACGGGACAAGACCACCCAGGACAAAACTCTTGTCTGCAAAAAAAACTATATATATACATATATTCAGCCTCCTGATGAGTAAGTCGGTGAAACTCCGACGAAACAGTTCAGTTTGTCACATCCCCTCGTTTCTTGTCCTCTTCTCCCTCCCTCCCTCCCTCCCTCCCTCTCTGCCTACGGTTTACCGCCCAGCTCTGTTTGAGGATACATATACATATCACCTCAGAGGGGTATCAGTTGTCGGGCAGTCGTTGACGCTTAACCACAACCGGGGTTAAGGTGGATTATCACTTACAGTGTAATCAGTTAGGGGATTCTGCAGACTCTTTTTTGACGGTTCAACCTCCTCCTGATGAGTAAGTCGGTTAAACTCCGACGAAACAGTTCGGTTTGTCCCAGCCCCTCGTTCGGTGTCCTCTTCTCCCTCTCTGCCTACGGTTAATTAACCAGACTGTTCAGTTTGACGATATATGTAGACATAAATATGTACGTATGAGGTGATGAACAGGTGGGGCTTTCCTTCCGTACTACTTTTCTTGTTTTGTCTTTTTACGCCTTTGCGCTCCGATTCACAGTGTGACAAAATATATAACATAGACCGTGTATTTGCGAGAACCTCGCAGGTTGAATAGCAAAATACCGAAAAAAAAAAGAAAAAAAAAAAGAAAAAAAAAGAAAAAAAAAAAAGAAAAAAAACAACAACCAGAAGGAAATGGTGCAATGTGTGTGATTTCAGTTTCTTTCTTTCTTCTTTGACCATAGACAATAAGGGCATACTCACACTAGCACTTCCCAAAATGCATCTGACCGCATTTACGGCTAGACGTGGATGAATCTGACTGCAATCCCAACCATGACTGCAGTATCGATCAACCAATGCCGCCGATGATCCCGGTATGCATACGTCATCCGCCAAGACATATCAGTTGAGGCGTAATTAGTTTGAGTTCTACTGAATCCGGGTACAATTACGACCAGATGCAATCAGCACAATCCGCGTGCGATCTGCCCTTGCTAATTGTGTGTGTGTGTGTGAGTCTCTGCGTTGAGCCTGCACCACGTGCATGCACTCAAATTCGAGCCATGGAAAGAACGCAGAAAGAAAGGGTCTTTTGGGGGACATCCGTTAACCCATTGGGACGTAACAGAGCGCAGATTAGCACGGCCCCCCTGCGTTATCACTCGTCATTGTCAAAAAAAAAAAAAAAAAAAAAAAAAACACGAGCATGGCCCCTGCGTACTCAAGGATGACACGCAGAGATCGACATCGACACAAACCAACCAACTGGCCAGGCTCAGTTGATACACCTAAGCCCTCGCTGCACTACTCTCGACATGCACAAAAGACAAAAATCATGGACTGCATCTTTCCATAATCTAGCGGAAGATTCACTCTCGTTTTGCACATTTCGAGATTAGTGCAGCGAGGCCCCTATGCTCAGTTGATACACCTATCAGCCGTTTAAACACAGGCCAACGTTCGAATTCCATGGGTGGTTCTTAGTGTAATGTCTATTCTGACTTGCCGGTGGAATAGGAACCGGACTGATGCTCCCCAGAATGGAAAGGAGCCGKGACCATAAGGTCCTGTTTTTKTTATTAAAAAAAAAAAAAAAAAAAAAAAAGGAAAAGCGTGAACAAGGACGAAGTAAGCAAGGAGAGGAGATGGCGAGGCGAGCTTCAACAAGAAAACTGAGGACGAGAGAAGAGAGCGGGGAGACACCAATGCACACACGAACGGGAAAGCGACCAGGCACTCGCACCCGATCAGGCGACTGCTCAGAATCGCGATCACTCACGGCCACGGGGTTAAAAACTACGTAACAGGGGGTTAAACAGTACGTAACAGGGGGGTAAAAAGTATGTAACAGGGGGTTAAAAAAGTATGTAACAGGGGGTTAAGAAGTATGTAACAGGGGGTTAAAAAGTATGTAACAGGGGTTAAAAAGTATGTAACAGGCAGTAGAGAAGAGGGGGGTAAAAAGTAGTATGTAACAGGCCGTAGAGAAGAGGAGGGTAAAAAGTATGTAACAGGCCGTAGAGAGGAGGGGGGGGGAGAACTATGTAACAGGCCGTAGAGAGGAGGCAGATA